TGCGATCTTGTGTTGTGGTCTTGTCCACCCGCCCCCCCCCCGTCCTTCCCCCCCCCCCCCCCCCCCCGGAGTCGGATCCGGTTGTACAAAGAAACGAGACAGAGGAGACGGGCAGTCTTTCGGATTGCCAGTGACACTCTATTCTCGGAGTTTGCTCGCAGAGTGTGCGTGGTTGGCTCACGGTGCCCCGATGCGGCGGGCTAAAAATCTCCTTGGCGTCGATGTCAGATCCCACCACCGCCCAGGGTGCCTCACTGTTTACCGAGGAAGGAGGAAGGATGGATGCATGCATGTTTTCATCTTGCGGTTTCTACGAATCCTTCTGACTCGGGGCCAATGCGCTCTTCCTCCTGAAAATACGATGGTTCGTCAGCTTCCAGGTCCGAATAGGGTCCCCGGGAAATGGACAAGTGCGCTATTCTCGTGCCGATTCATTAACGAAACGAAAAAGACCCTGCGGCGGATGTCGAAAACATTTTCCAGAAGGGTTCTCGTTTTGGTGGGTAGAGAAATAGGACTAGAAGAAAAACGGCGTGCGGTGGCGAGCAAGTAGAAGCCGGGCAAGCCACACATACACGTTTTTGTTGGATGGATGAGAGATGTTCGTCCTGTGCTGGTGGGGAAGTCGTGGAGGGGGCCATGGACGGTTCCAAGATGCGGCGGCGTGGGCTGGCAGCTGGATCTCACTCGCTGCATTAGGTAGTGCCATGGTTTGTGACTGATTCTTTTCTTTTTTCCTCTAGTAGCAATTGCCAAAGTTCCAACCGTTCAGTGGTATTGCATCTCGTTGGTTCAACAACATGTGTGTTGCACGGCAGAAAGGTGACATGCTGCGACTGCGACTGTCACTGCAGCCCGTGAGACCCTTGTAACGTTTGACGTCCCATTTGCACGCGGGTTCGCGGGATAAGGCACTTTTCATGCATAGCATCGCGCCATGATGAAAACCCTTGAATGCGACGAGAGATACATGCGGTAGTTCAGTCGACTTGGAAGTCTCTGAAAACAATACCCCCGACGGTAGGTAAGGTAGGTAGGCATTTAGATACGTACCCAAACTGCGCATCCTGGAGTCGTAGCATCGAGTACGTACCTCTACCGACCCCGGCATGGGTGGATCAGATAGACGATAAGGTATGTGACCTACCTTGGCCCCGCTTCGACCCAACATTTTTGTCTTTCACATGCTCAAAGCACGCTACCATGATTGAGGCGTATCCCGAAAGGTAGGTTCTCGAGCTTGTGGGCGTGCGGTTCGAGCTCTCGGTGCCATTTTACATTGCACACTGACACTTGCAGCGGCGACGCAGTGGTAATAAACAGCCAACTGGCTCGTAACATGTACGGCACCTTACGGTAGCAAGTAGCAGGTAAACAATAGCGTAGGTATAACGGGTAGCCCCGACTGGATTGGGGAAAAACAAGGTCAAGCAGGTGAGGTACTTGAGCATCTCTTCTCCTCGTTTTGAGGTAAGTTTTCGGACGGGACTCTTCCCTCGTATCATCCCCATCCCCGGCCACCACTTCAGTCTCTGCCCGTACTGGGCCACCGACTGACCGTATCCGCCCACCGCCTGGGAAAATAAGACCCCAGACCGGCCAGGGCCATCGAGGCCAGACTTGACGTCCCTCAGGTCCACCTCACGTCTTGTCAGAGTCTTGTCCAGCTGCATTTTCTTTGTCTCACCTTACATTCTTCAACCCACTTTATTACTTTTGCTTCACTCACTGAGGTTCCTTCCCACCGACCAGCACACCAACCTACCTTTCGAACTTTGCTTTTCCTACCATCGAGTCACTGCTCAAGTATCATCGCTGCCCGTCAGTTATCGGAGACAGGAATCTTCAATCGTTCATTCCTCGAGGGAATCAACTCTCTGAGTCCACTAGAGCCGAGCGCCGTAAAAGTAACATCAGCTTCATCCCTCGCCACAACCACATTCCCCGGCTGCCATACGACGCGCGCTGGCCCAGAACACCTACCGTTGATCGGCGACATTCCTGTTCTCGGGCGACTTTCCCGCCATCACAGGCTAACACCTTACCCGGGCGACAAGCGAGGGCCCCATCTCTTCGAATTCCCGACGACTCTCGACTTGTTGTGCTCTGCGACCAACAATCTCGCCAACCGTTGAAAGAGGGCCGACAGACACATAATGCCCCCGATGCGACTTTGGGCACCCATTTTCGAAGAACTTCTTTCCTCCCAGAGTAGAATGCAACTGATCTCCATGTTGCCCCACTCACTTCAGGCGCGGCTTCCGCCGCTGCGGGCGATCCGCAAGAGCGTCAGTTTGCAGACCCTCACCTCCTCGAGCAGACAAACCCACACTCGCTCCCTGTCCGGACTTGATGGCGCTCCCCCGAACATCAGCCAGGCTCGTATCATCTCGGAGAGCACCGAAGAGCACATGAGCCTGGTGGCCACCGAGCACCATCAATCATCCCGGACATACGAAGTCAACACCCGTCCCGAAAGGCACGACCAGCAGCCGCAGCAACAGCAGCATCAACAACAGCAACAGCAATATCAACAGCAATATCAATATGAACAGTGGGCGCAAAATCAAGAGAGTCCAGGCGCTGAGATACACTGGCAATATGCTCAGCAAGGTGCGTACCCGTCTCGCTTCTTTCATCACTTATTTTCTGACGTCCCTGCGCTCTAGGTATGAATCTGTTCAGGGCTTCTCAAGATGAAGCGCGCTCTTCTCAAGCCAAATTTCGGCGTAAAGCTTTCCTAGACGGCGTGGAATACATCTTGAGGGCGTTGCCAAACGACTTGAACGAAGGCGAGCTCAGTCGACTGCGCTCGTCAGTGCCCCCAAACTTTATCCCCGAGCCAACCCCCGGGGGCCGAGCGCATTCGCCATTACGCGGCGCGAACGGAGGAAGATCGATTCTTCACCGAGGCGTACAGTCTGCCGTCGTCAACATTTTTATTCTCATTCACCTTGCGCTGCCCTACATTATTCTCCTTTTGAGATTTGCGGCCCGCACCGAGAGAGAATACAGGATATCCGAGAACATCGTGGGCGCCGGTATGAGCTTCGCCAACACCGTCGGCAGCCAAGGCATGAGAATAACCGGGGCTCTCTGTAATGTGGGCGACGGCAAAGTTGGACAAGCACTGACTGAAGCCATCGCCTGGACTGTTGAAGGGTTCACTGGGGGCCTTTCTGACGGCGTTGGCGAAGGCCTTACCATCGTGGGCGCGAGACGACAATGATCCAAACGACGAAAACGCAAGAAAAAAAAGAAAATAATAAAAACCAAAAAAAAAAAAAAAAAGGATATATCAAACGACAAGACATAACACAACATGACCTAGAGAGGAAACTTTTCTTACGATCTATTTTGGCTTTAGACTTTCGGAGTATATTCTTTTTTCTTACGCCAGACGAATTCTGTGACCGAGGGAGTTCTCCATGTTGAAGTCAGGGCTACTGGCAAGACAAATCGGCTCATGTTGTACCGACCCGTCGGATCAGGTTTGCTGGGGCGAGTCGGCCAAGATGAGCTTTCGGTCTGCTACTTGAATCGAACGACATATTTGGAGTGGTATCGGATGGATGTCTGCATTCTGTGGAGTAAGATATTGGCCAGTCGAAAAGAGTATTGATGATCTGGATAGATATGAGCCTTCATAGAATATCAATAGCTCAAATGAAGACATTATCATGAAACTAGAGAAGTCTACTGACTCATCGAGCTTGTGTCGATCCCACTGAGTTGGCTTGTGCAAAAAGGCTGGCTGAAGGTGTCACCCCCACGCAAACTTTACCTGCCCAAATCTTACGCAGGCCGAGATCTATTAAAGTGCCTTAACGGATACTCGGTGTCAGTGTTCAACGGGATATTCTATTTCAAGCCTTTGGGTTGGCTTCTGTACCGTGTTGTAGAATCGCAAATTCTGGTCCGGTCGAGTTGCTCCTTTCGTAGCCACTTTAGTTGCGCTAAGAGCTTCCCGACAAGGATACGTGCCGGAGCCTCCCGGGACGCGCCAATGAGTGGCTGCGCGATTGGTCCCTTAGCAGCGGTAGAAACGGACCCACAGAAAACTGGCGAAAAAAAATCCATTGCGTCTGATAAACCCAAGAAAAAAATCCTTATCGCCTCGCCGCCTCCTGTCCACCTCCAAGTTCACACGGTTCGACGTTGAAAAAAACGACGTTCCCATCCCTTTGGACCTTCACTCATTCCCTTTTCCCAACTGTATTGTATTCGTCTTCCACCAGTTAATTCTGTTTTAATCAGTCGAAATGTTTCGGCAATCCCTCAGAAGGTGCGCTCGCCTCAGCGGCGCAGGCTTCGCAACCACCACCCTCCGCACCACGCGACCTGTCGTCCTCAAGTCGATTGCCCAGCCCTCTCAGACTGCGCTGCGCGCCCCGGCTACCCTGAATGCGTTCAGACTCTACTCCAGCGAGGCCGCGGCCGTTGCTAACGAGCAATCCGGCGATGCCTCCACGCCATCAGAGGCCCCTCTGTCAAGGTTTGAGGACCTTCGCAGCCTGGGTGTCCACGCGAACCTCGTCGACAGCATCACCAAGGGCTTGAAGTATGAGAACATGACCGATGTACAATCCAAGACCATCAAGCCCGCGTTGAAGGGAATGGACCTGTAAGCCACCATACCGCCACTTTTGCCTCACGACCTGTAACTGACAACTCTTCTCAGGGTCGCCCAGGCCAAGACCGGTACCGGAAAGACGCTCGCCTTCCTCGTTCCCATCCTGCAAAGAATGATCGCCGCGGACCCTACCCTCGCCACACGCAGAGCGCGTTTCTCCGCCGACGCCTCCGATATCCGTGGCATCGTCATCTCCCCTACTCGTGAGCTGGCTGAGCAGATCGCCGTCGAGGCCGAGAAGCTGTGCCAAGGCACCGGCCTGGTTGTCCAGCGTGCCGTGGGCGGAACCAGGAAGCGGGAGATGCTGATGGAGACTCGCAGGCGCGGCTGCCATTTGCTCGTCGGAACCCCTGGAAGACTCAACGACCTCCTGTCCGACCCCGACAGCGGCATCCGTGCTCCCAACCTGGCCGCCATCGTCCTGGACGAGGCCGACCGCATGCTCGATGTCGGTTTCGAGAGGGAATTGAGGGAGATTGTTTCGCACCTGCCTGATGCCAAGCAGACGCAGCGCCAAACCCTGCTCTTCTCTGCCACCATTCCCCGCTCCGTCATCTCCCTCGCCCGCGAGTGGGTGCGCCCCGACAACTTCGACTTCATTCAGACCGTCTCCGGCGACGAGGTTCTTACCCACGAGAAGGTCAAGCAGCACGTCGTCAACTGCAAGGGCTATGCCAACGTCTTCCCTGTTCTGTACGAGCTTATCCAGAACGAGGTCGAGAAGCGCGCAAACGACCGCAGTCTGCAGCCTTTCAAGGCTCTTGTTTTCCTCCCGACCACTGGCTTCGTCGATCTCGCCGGCGATATGGACCGCGACCTGAAGAGACTGAGAGCACAGCACGGTCGTCATTGGAGCTGGCGCATCCACTCCAAACTCACCCAGCCGCAACGCACCAGAGCCGCAGACGAGTTCCGTAGAGCTGAGTCTGGAATCCTCTTCTCCTCGGACGTTACCGCCAGAGGTCTGGACTTCCCCAACGTCACCCACGTCATTCAGGTTGGCGCTCCCAGCGACCGCGAGCAGTACATCCACAGGCTCGGCCGTACCGGTCGTGCGAAGAAGGACGGAGAGGGCTGGCTCATCCTCCCCGAATGCGAGATGAACAAAGCCCGTAACGAGCTGGGCGGGCTCCCTATCCAGCCTGACACCACTCTCACCTCTACTGCCAGGTTTGACTTCACAAAGGGCGAGGAGCCTAGCGAGATTGTTAAGCAAGTGACCGAGGCGACGGCGAACGTGTCGGGAAGTACCCTCGGCATGGCATACATGTCATTGTGGGGGCAGTTCGACAGCAGAAGTGCGCAGGACAGGGCGGACGAGCTGAAGGTGTGGTATGTCGACGCCATGCAAAAGGAAGACACACCCTACATCAGCCCCTCTACCGCGATGAAGCGCGGCTTGAGAGGACTCAAAAACATCAACACAGTCAACAGGGCCGGATATGAGCGCGATGATTCCAGAGACGGCGGCCTTGGCTTTGGTGGTCGTGATGGCGGCCGTGGATTCGGTGGACGTGATGGTGGCCGTGGCTTTGGTGACCGTGATGGCGGCCGTGGCTTCGGTGGACGTGATGGTGGCCGTGGATTCGGTGGCCGTGACGGCGGCCGCGGCTTCGGTGGTCGTGATGGTGGCCGTGGATTCGGTGATCGTGACGGCGGACGCGGCTTCCAACGCCGTGAGCCCCGCGATGGGTTCGAGAAGATGAGCTTCGAGTCGCGTTCTGACGACAGAGGACGCCCCCAGAGGCGCGAGAGGTCGTCTTTCTAAGGCGACTATTCTCGGCGGCGTGAGGAGGAAAAGAAGATACTGCGATGAAGTGAGGGAAAGAGGACCGTGATGATGACGACGGCTCTCGACAACGGTTTAGACATATCATACCCCCACCCCCACCAGCCCCAAAACTCCCCTTTTGATCTGTTTTGTCGGCAAATTTGTGTACCATAGAAGGAATGTTTTGTTACGGAGCCACGTCAGAAAAAAAGGTCTATATTGGGGGCGAAATCCGGTTCTGCTGCTGTTGTATTACCAAATCGTTCGGGCGGGTCCGGGGAGGATAGGTGGGAAATTCAGCTTTGCTGTACACAACGAAAAAGCTCACGACTAAAGCCATGTATATAATCTTGGAGAAACTCTCCGAATCTCTTCTTTTTAAACCCAATCTCTCCCTGTTGCACTCTGTGATGTTGTTGAGCCTGGTCTTTGTAGCTCGACTTTTGATAAATACCGCCTAACGACCTGTGTCATTATACCCTTACGACTCACGGGTGCCCACGTTGCAGGTAAACAAATAGACCTCTTCCATTGGATCTCAAGCATGGAAGGATTTCCATCGCCACGCATGAAGTACAGCGCCCTGCCCCGCCAACGCCAATTGATGCCATTACTGCGTCAACAAAAGCCCGGTCCCCCTTACTGTGACTCTTGCCCGAAGACGCTGGTTCTAGAAGGACCCCAAAACGCCCGCCGAATGGTAAAGCTAGCGACATACAGCCACGTAAATGATGATTTCGAAATAATAGCCGAGAGATGCTCCTTTCACCGGCCCGCCAAGAGAGCATTGGCATCCCATAACAAGACCCTCTCATCCCACCCCACCGTTGACACCCAGCCCCCGGCACCGAACAAGCACCAGTCGACGCCGACGACGAACTCGGTATGCCTATTCATGATTCCGACCTGCGCCCCGACCTGCGCGCCACCGGGCCCGGCGGGCGGCGCGCTCGACCTATCATCCCACAACCGGACCGTCATGTCGTAGCTCGCCGTGAGCAGCAGGTCCGCGGCGTGCGGGCTCCACGCCAGCCTCCTGACGGCGTACTCGTGGCCCTGCATGACGGAGACGGGCCCCGCGGTGGGGTTGCGGATGTCGAAGGTGCGCACGGCGCGGTCGACGCCGCCGGTGGCGATGACGGTGTCGCGGTACTTGTTCCAGTCGTGGGTGAGGACCTCGGCGGGGGCGGCGGAGGGGAAGGAGGGGCCGGCGGCGTGGACGGGGATCATGGAGGTCAGGTGGTAGCGCGAGGAGGCCGGGGTGCGGAGGTCGAAGATGCGGATCTGGGAGTCGGAGGAGACGGCGGAGATGATGTGCGGGTTCGAGGGTTGGAACGAGGCGCTGTACGTGCAGTTTCCGACGGGGAGGGTACGGAGGGAGTGCTCGCGGGTCGGTGACCACTTTTGGCGAGGGTTTGGTCAGTCATTTGTCGTCCTCGAGCTTCAGGGTGTGGGGAGGGCTTACGAGCTTGATCGTCCCGTCCCACGAACTCGACACGAAGGTGTCCTTTGTGATCGGGCTCCAATTCACCGAGAACGTCTCGCGTTTGTGCTCGTGGAAGTTCATGACGGGAAAGTCCTTGACGCCGAGGTCGAAGAGCTTGATCGAGCCGTCGCCGCAGGCCACGACGAGCTGGTTCTCGTTGATCTCGGACCAGGCGAGGTCATATTGTGAATCGTTTGTGTCGAACCTGGTCGTCATTCCAAGTATTAGCTTCCCCCATGTGCTGCTGCTGCTGCTGCGCGTCCGGTGATCATGGTGTCGAAGGGAGGGAGGGACTTACGTCGTCTCAACCTCGATGCCGCGGGCCGTCAGACCTAGACAGAAGACTCGCCCGTTTCCGACAATGCCAAAGTTGGCCGACGATGCGACGGCGATGCGCGAGTCGTAGTAGGGCGAGTACTTGACGGCGTACGGGTTGTAGCCCTGCGTGCGGAATTCGAGCATTGGGGCCATGGCGGCGGCGGCGACGGGGTGGTTCTCGTCGTCGCGGTGCTGCTGCTGCGGCGGGGATGGGTGCCCGTGGTTTATTGGAGTTGTGTGTGCGGAACGAGGTGGGCAATGTGCGCTTCACGGTGGAAGCATATGAACGCGGGCGGGACAGCTCTCGCCGGGGTGGTCGGTGATGTAACGCCGATCCGGGGTACCTCGGCAGACGGGGGAGTGCTGGGGTCGGATGGCGGGGTGGTCTTTGGGCATGCGATTATCGGGGGTTGAGGAGGGGCTCAAGTAAAGGGTGTGGGGTTTGCACGTGCTTTCGCGGTGGCCACGCGCCTCGACGTTAGCTTCTCCTTCAGGGGTGTCGTTTTTTGTCGTTCGTTTGCTTCTTTGTGGCAGGGTATTTGTAAGCTGTTTTCCCTTACTGATTTCATGCGTCGCACATCAAATGATTCTGGGTTGGATGCCATCGTGAATACAACCATCTCGACCCTCGTTCGATGATGCGATGGAATCTTTTCTGATCAGGAAGAAGCGAAAGCTGAGTCCCGCTGAGCACAAGCCGATTGAGCACGACGACGAACCGACGGAGGTCAAACTCGCGATTCTCTCGTCACTCCATCCGAATATTGAACAGGATGTGCTTCTCGACGTTCTACTGGCCCACAATGGCTCCGTTCCCGACTCTCTCGAGGCGCTCAAGACGCCAAACCCGGTCAAGAAGCCCAGTGGTGTCATGGGTGCACAGAGCTCACTGAGAAGTTTTGCCACGAAGTCAACTGACAACGAGGGAGGTTCTGGCTCACCAGGCAAGAAGAGACTCATGTCAAAAAAGGGCACTACGCTCCATCTGTACGACCCTGAGGACATTGCACAACACACGCCCTGTTCAGTCATTCAGAACTTTTTGCCAGCCGACGAAGCAAGCGATCTTTTGCAGGAGCTCTTGGACGAGGCAAAGTCGTTCGAGAAGAACGTTACGTTCAAGCTCTTCGACAACGTGGTCGCGAGCCCGCATACGTCGTGTTTCTACGTCGAAACCTACGATGAGATCCAGAGACAGAAAACCGAGTATCTCTACAACGGCGCCAAGCTGAACGACATACGTCGAATCACACCGCAACTCATCAAAGTTAAACCAAAAGTCGCGGAGGCTGTGAACTCGGAAATCCAAAAGAGGATAGCCACCCGCTACCCCGGCGGGAAGAAGCTGCGGTTTCAATCTCCCAGCCCGTGGGCTCCAAACTCGGCTTTTGTGAACTGCTACGACGGTCCGCAGGAGAACGTCGGATATCACAGCGACCAGTTGACATACCTCGGCCCACGCGCGGTGATCGGCTCGATATCTCTCGGCGTGGCACGTGAGTTCCGCGTGCGTCGTATAGTTCCAAAGGACGGAGACAACAACTCGGTGGACGGTGCGGACGCCGAGGGCCAGATATCGATCCACCTGCCACATAATTCGCTGCTGGTAATGCATGCTGAGATGCAGGAAGAGTGGAAGCACAGCATCGCGCCGGCGCAGTCCATTGATCCGCACCCGCTGGCCGGCAACAAGCGCATTAACATCACGTACCGCGACTACAAGCCGAAGATGCATCCCCGCCACACGCCAAAATGCGATTGCAAGATCCCTTGTGTGCTGCGGGTCGTCCAAAGAAAGAAGGAGAATCACGGAAAGTACTTCTGGATGTGCCACGGGGGCAACGTGCCTGGCAAGAACAGTTGCTCGTTCTTTCAATGGGCACGATTTGACGACGACGGGAATCCTATATGGAGCCATGCGAATCGAAAAACGCCAACTTGATTTTTGTCTACTCGCAAACGTAATGGAGACTACGGGTTCTCGTATCCCGGCTGATGCTCAGTTTTACCGTCCAACTGCTGGATCTTCAAGCTCTTGAGATCTACGCCGTTCAGCACCCGCACGTTGACTGGGTTCATGGGCGCCATCCGGCTGTGCCAATACTGCGCGGCCTCAGCCAGGGCAGCGAATTCCTCCTCGGTCTTGGGCATCTGGCAGTTGGTCATGGGCACGCCGCACCTCTTGCAGAACGTTTTGTACAGGATATGGTGCCCGAAGGAATACCGACCGATCTTGTCGTCATCTCCTGTCAAGACGACGTGTTCAACCTTGGGGTAGATCCAGACGTAACCATTCTATAAGCAGGTCAGTGAAACGTTTGGAAAAATGCAAATCACGAAGTTTTACTTACTCTCTCGCAGATACTGCAGTTACAATCAACTATCCATTCCTCGAATGTCTCGTCAAGAGGTTTGCTCATGACCGCGACCGTGACATCGCCGCAGTGGCAGCTGCCTGTGTACAGCTTGCCGCCTTCGATATCTGCAGTTGGGCTGGGCCCTTTGTGGGCGGGAGGCGTGTACTTGTCTCCGAACGACGAGCCATCGAAACTATCATCAAAGTCAGACCTGTGCCATATATGAATTAGGGTTGTCGGGTTCTTACGGTTTCTTCTCCAACCCGAAGATGTCGAGATCTTGCATCGCGCGCACCTGCAGGCGGTGTCAGTCCGAGTCCTATTTTTGGTTGAATCTCTGGGCGAAGGATTCAGACTTACATTCAACGCCATCTTCCTCCCCGGCGGCCCGTTGGGGAAGTCCACCATGATGGCGGTGCCGCAGTTACCACAGAACTAAGCGGTTGTGAGCATTACTTCAGTCCAAGTTACTTTTCGACAATTCGATCAGCTCACCTTGTGCGTCATTTGTCCGCTAGCGAAGTTGTAGCTCGAGAGGTCACTCACGGCGCCCTTAACGACTCTGAAGTCATCAGGGCTGGGAAGGACCCAGAGGGTCCCCTTCTTGGTGCAGACACTGCAATTGCACTGGCTCACGCTCTTGATCTCGGGGAGTTGGACCTCGTAGACGAAGGCTTTGCAGTGGCAGTTGCCCCGGTAGGTCTGCTTGGGTTCGTCGGGAGTCATAGTGAGGGTGTAAGGGATGAGACTTGCGGGTATTGTTTTTCGTAGGCAGGAATAAGAGTGCAAAGTCTGAGGCTTGGAGATACAATTCTGAATTGGATTCAAAAGTCTTGGAAGAATTCTTTATATATCACATCAGAAACATCATTTTGGAGTTGTCCGGCGAGTTGAAGGGCTGAGAATCTGAGGGCAAGCTCGATTAGTGAACGCCGCTTTTTTGTTGAGATGAATGTGGATTACCACTGCCTCACAGACTCGCGTGACTCTCCCATCGCGGTTTCCTCCACCAGACAACGCAGCGTCTTGAGGGGGCGTAAGCAATATCATGTTTGGTCTGTTTTTTGAGTCACCGTTTACGAAGTCCGGGCCGTGTTGGCCTCCCGCTGACTGCATGAAGTGATGCAAAACAGGTCCGATACTTTGCGCAACACCAGCGTCAGTGGGAACGAGATGACCGGGACCCCTTCCCTAGGGTATCGCAAGTGAGCCCTTCGACGCCCTAGGGCGCCGGATATTCATGTCTTTTGGTATGGTTGTCGTTGAGAGCTTCAATAACAGCCATTCCTTGCCTAGTGAGGGTTTACATCTGGTATCGTGAAAACGACCTAAATGTGTGTTAGTCGTCCCGCTACGGCGGGAGCATTGAGACAACGTCGCTGACAGCTCCCTAGTGTTCGCTAAATCCGGCAAGTTACCGACTTGTCTCAAGTTCCCGTACAACCACGTATGATGCGGCCGACTTCCATCGTGCCGCGGTCTCTTTTTTTGGGCATCGGTATGCAATCCTCGGTAGTTCTCTTCTCAATTACGACAGCCGCGTAATTTCAGTGAAGAAAACCCGCCGAGACGGACGTCATCTTACCGGGGAACTGGTTCCCTTCGACCGAGTGTTGGGGATCTTTTGATGTCTTTTTCTTTTTTTCGGATCTTTTGTGTCGCTTGTTTCAATGGGCAAGCTGGAATAGGCGATGTGGCATGTTGGGGTGAGCCGGAGCGTAGGCAACCGTGAGATTTCGGACGTTTGTTGAGATGAACCGCCCTAACGCTGGAGTCCTCCAGAGGTGTGGGGGAGTCGACTGGTTACATACGCAGCGGTGGTTGGCGGTTCCCCCCTGGCGCCGTCAGTGGCCCGTCCCGGTGAACATGGCTCATGAGACAAACTGGCATAGCCGCCGTCGTTATTACCGACGACATCACAACAAGAAGGAGGATGGAAATGCTACAGCATTCTTCCGAGATTCCGGTGGTCTAAAGTTCCCGTTAAATCCGGTCCACGGGTTCCGCTGATGACGGGCCCCCGCCATGGACCTTGAATCGGAGGGACTCTGGGCCGTCACCGTGTTGGAGAAGATCACCAAATCCAGAACCTCGACTTACACCGGTCGTCGCCAAGATGAACGCGCACGCGCAAACCCAACTCTCCTTCGACTCTCTCCTTGTCTGCCAAGTCCGGGCACGCAGCTCCGAAGGATGATTGATAATCGCTTGATCAGTCACACCAAACATTCCTCGAGATAGTATCTCCATCCAATCGGCGAAATTCATTGTGGTTCGTGGGCAACAGGAAAGAAAGACTAGCAACACCAAAAGAAGATGCCGTCTCCCAAGACGTCTCATCTTGAGAGGCCCGCAGACACCACATGCATTCCTTTCCCCGCATACGACAAACCCCCTTAGATCAAAAGATCAACCGCGCCGCTCCCCGGGCTGCCAGTTGTAGATTAACGCGGGCCAGGTTCCTGATTCGAGATGGGCAAGCTGGGCCCCGGCCGGTTCCCGCGGGCGATGCTTTTTAATTCTCCCCCCAACCTTATTGCAACGGCTATGGTGCCAAGGCGATCAGCCGGTTGCAGACATGCCACGCCAACCGTCGATTCGTCCAAACGTCCAAACGGGCCCTGTTCCTCCTTTTTAGAGTGCGACCTTTCTCCCACCGTCGTCATCTTTTTTTCTGGTTCGCCTCGTCCAGTTTCTCTTTGAGTGGAATTAAACACCCCTCCCCTGCTCGGTTATGTCTTGCCAGCTGCCGTGATGGGTAGTCACCCGCCGGTAGTTCGTAGCATCGCGTACGACGTGATTTGCTTGGCGGCAGTGTTCAGAAGAGGATGGGTCGGTTAACTTGCTGCTCTCTCTCCTTTTTTGTTTCGTTTTTCTGGTGGTTTATTCGCGACTCCGTTCCTCGGCTGAAATGTATTGGAGGATATTGGCGAAGACGTAGCAGGCGAGACATTGCGGGCAGCTAGCCGTCCGGCACTTTTTGGGGGAGGGGCTTGTTTCCCGCCATGGGAGAGAATGTGAGGGAGGGTTGTTGATGTGATAGCCAAGATCTACGAGTTGCCAATCCCCGCTTTCGGTTTGCTAGGGGAGCTTTCACTGAGGGAGGCTTTTTGATTCCGAATGGAAGGTCAATCTCCGTCGTGTCAGGCAAGTGCAATGCATTGCCATTGCCATTGCCATGCTGCTGGGCTCTTGCTTTCGACGGTATTTGAAGGCTGTGGTAGCCCCCCCTTGCCGTTGGTGAAAACAAGGAAGGTGGTTGCCAGGTTGTTTGCTTGCTCCTGCTATTCCGATAGACATCGGGCTCTTGCTTGTGCCGTTCGTCTTCTGACATCACCTAATACCTTGCGCCGGGACTTATAAGGTCGCCTTACCCTTACTGCGTCCCTCCAACTGTCTCTCGCTCCTAGGTAGAGACAGGCCTGAGCCGATCTGCGCAAACGTCTATTCAGTCTCAGAACCGATCTTCAAGATGGCCCCCTTCAGACCTCTCGTGGCCCTCGTCACGGCCATGTCTGCCGCACTGGCAGCTGCCCAATGCGAAAGCCTGACTCCTGTCTCGCAGCCCGTACTGGCCACAGGTTACCAGGCAAAACTCATCTTGAACGGCCTTTCAGACCCTCGCAGCCTCCAGTTCGACACTCTCGGAAACCTCCTCATCGCCCAGCAGGGTGGCACCGGCATTCAATACGTCAAGTTGACTGACAATGGCGGTCTGAACGTCTGCGTTGAATCTCAGAAGCAGCTTGTTCCCAATGCTCAGGTAGGTCAATTCGTCCATTCCCCTCGAATTCTTCATGAGCATGCCGACTGACACTTGCTCAAGCTCAACCACGGAATCGCCCTGTCTGCGGATGGCAAGACGCTGTATGCCTCTACTGCAACCGCCGTGTTGGCGTATCCATACGACGCGGAAGCCGGTACGGTTGGCGAAGCCCGGGTCATCATCAACATCCCCCAGCAGAGTGGTCACTCGACTCGTACTCTGTTGATCCCCAAGAGCAGCCCCAACACCATTCTCGTTTCCGTTGGCTCTGGACCCAACCTCGATCTTCCCACGGCGGAACAATCTTCTGGCCGCAGCATGGTTCGCGCCTTTGACCTCACAACCCTGACGGGCAGTGCCGTGGCCTACAACTCTGGTGAGCTCCTGGGATGGGGTCTGCGCAACAGTGTTGGTCTTGCGGAGAACGTCGATGGTGGCATTGTAAGTGTCTACACGGTCCCCTCAGAAATTGGTCTAACGTCTTTGTCAGTGGACCGTCGAGAACTCCCTGGACAACATGGCCCGCGACGGCGTGGATGTCCACAACGATAACCCCGGTGAAGAACTCAACTACCACGGCATCATCAACTCTACTTCCAACGAGTTGAAGGGTGCCAACTACGGCTACCCCCACTGCTTCGCCGTCTGGGATAACTCCACCATCCCCAACTTCAACGTCGGAAGCCAGGTCATTCAGGGTAGCGCGTCGGGCGAGATCACGGACGAGTACTGCCAGACCACCCCCGTGCCTCCTAGACTCACCTTCCAGGCGCACCTGGCGCCGCTGGACATCAAGTTCGCGCCCGACGGAGGAGCCGCGTACATCTCTTTCCACGGCAGCTGGTAAGTCTCTTTTGCTTCGTGGCTCCAGGATGCATGAGCTGACGTCTCTGTAGGAACCGCCAGCCTCCCGATGGATACCGCCTCAGCAGAGTCGAGTTCGGTGCCGACGGACAGCCCACCGCTCCGTCAACAAGCCGTGATGCCGCAGTCAACATCATGTGGAACGGCAATGCTTCGGCTTGCCCAGGTAGCTGTTTCCGACCCGTTGGTCTTGCGTGGGGCACCAACGGCAGACTGTTCCTGGTCAGCGACTCTACGAACGAGCTTTTTGTCCTCACCACACCGGCAACGACCTACGAGTAGGACACGGATGGGTTGTCGTGCGCTGTGTAGTTGTTGGAAGTTGCTCCATCGGATTTCGTACGAAGTTGACAGGAACATGGCAGATTTTGGAACAGAGTATTATTTGCACATATTTACTCATGTCTGTTCGTCGGATGCTTCGCATGTACGGATACCTACATTGCAATAACATGATCCGTTATCTGTCTGAGCCACGGTGCTTCTGAGCGTGAATTCGTTCCTGTGAACAACTTCAATGATGACGCCGCGATAGACACGGTCGGAATAAGGCGTATTATACTCGCAAGGAAGAGGCTGTTTGTCAGAAGAGCAAACGAAACGGTTCCTCCCATCGAGATTACCAAAGACAGACAAGCGGGGAAGTCTCTGTGGTTGCTGTGCAGCGACGGAGAGGGCTCGACCCTTGCATCGGCCCGGGCTGCAGTGAACCAAGCGGGGATCTCCCAGGGCGAGTTGCAGTGCGGTACCTCCACTATCAATCGGGCGCCCACGGAAAGGCGCGTTTTTTGCGCTGTCCGCCGCCAGTTTGCCCGTACGAAAACCGCCCATGATGATGTGCGACTGGCTACGGGCACAAGGGCAGACGCGAGTGCAGATGTTGTGCAGGAGCACCTAGGACAGCGCTCCAATCAAGTGTCACGGCCGCCGTCCCAGTCTCACTCATCCCGTCCCTCCGTGTCATCCATCCATTCCCTTCCATCCCTCCCTCCCTCTGTTTCCTGTCCAGCGTCGTCCGCTCAGCCTGTTTGTTGCGCTTTTTCATCCCGCGTTGGGCAAAGCTGCCAAAACACTCGTTCTCCGCCATAAGCCATCCATTCTTGAGCCATTTCGTGTTCATTCTGGCATCCAGTCGTTTCGCCGCATTCTCGACATCGGCCAAGCGCACGAGAAGCGTCTCAGGCTCTGCGGCATTGCAACGTCGCAACCTAAGAAGGTTTGACGAGGACCCCGAAGCGCGCGCGCATCGTGCAGTACACCCATCCTCGCCTGCCTGATCCTTCATTCCAACTCTCTACGCACCATATCGTGACCTGTGTCCGCTTGGCCTCGTCGTCCGACGTCCGCAACAGCAGTCTTTGCGCCTCAGCCCTATCAGAACCCACGCGACCGCCATTCCGCGTTTCCGGAGCCCTCCGTTTGCGACACGCACCACAGCCCTGCGCGCAATTCCTACGTCATCCGACGCGCCACGCTGACCGAGCACACGATGCCGCTCATTCACCGGCAAACCCTCGACGACGACGTCGTCGTCCCGGCGCACTACGGCGGCTGGTCGCCCCTTAGCTCCGGCGCCATCGTAGGCATCACCCTCGGCGCCGTCGCCGGTTTTCTCCTTATCCTTTGGATGATCTACACCTGCCTCAACTTCGGGCGACCGGTCGAAAACTCGTCTTCTTCAGTATACACCGGCACCGCGACGTCGGTGCTCTCTGTGCGCTCGCGAAGCCGCCATCGTCACCGCAAACACCGCAGCCCGGCGCGCGGGCCGAGGATTATCGCGACGGAGGAGGTGCGGGTTCGGGAGAGGGAGAGCGTGAGCAGGAGCCGACCGCCGCCGGGACCGGTCATTGTCGATGCGGAGCCGCCGATGCGGGAGCGTAGGGCTAGTCGGGGCCCACCACCGCCGAGATTCGTGCCGGATGACGACGAGGATGAGGTCGTCGTGATTGAGGAGCATACGCCCGAGAGGAGGAGGAGGTCAAGGCGGCACAGCGGCTCAGGGGGCCACAGTCGGCACGAGAGCCGGCGACGTAGTCGGGACTATTGAGGTGGAGAGGCGATATATCTGCATCGGACGTTTTCTAGCGAGCGGAGGGGGCTTGAGAGATATGTTGTAATGGATTTACCCTGCTTCCCGGTGCAGGCCGAGGCGACTCTGGCACCGACCATCCGTGTACGAGGACGAGGACGAGGACGAGGAATGTGTGAAATGTCTCGTGATATTTTCCTTGGTATGTGGTAGGTCATGCGGCGTACGTTGGGATACCGGGGAAAGATCAGACGGAAGAATGGCGGTGGAGCCAATTCCGGGAAGGGATGGATGGACGTTGGGTGGACGTCGACGTGTTCGGTTTCGATACGAAAGTCGACATTCCTCGCGGCTTTGGACCGTCAGCTTCGTCTTGCTTTCTTTCCCGAATACGGCGGTGGACAGGTGGTTTTCGGCGCGTGACGACGCCTGACGCAGCCTGGGCCGGAGTCGCGGCATGTCCCCGAGAGCGCGAAGAGGTTGCCGTCAACTCGGCACGGAGAAGTGTCCGGTTTCTTCTTTTTTCTTTTCTTGTGATAATCTTGTGATAATGGTGTTGGACGGTAGCGGAACGATGAGGTCGAGCGTGTGAGTTGTAAATATTCCCCTTTGGAAGCTGAATGCTGAGCAAGAGACACGGACATGTGTCAATGAGGGCATCGTCTGATGATTTTCCACTTTCTTCACGTCTTTGGAAAGTACTGTAGTATCTAACCTCACCCTCGGCCCTGCTCGACATACATAGGGATGTCATGCATGCATGGGCATCTGCACGATGCGGAAGCCGCCCCAGGCACACTAACACCAGTCAGTGTCCGATCTCACTTTCCCCCAACAGTTAGCCCAACACAAAAAAGAAGCCGCCGGGATCGAGATGTAACCGGCAACCCTGATAATGATGGGAAAGGTGAAGAAGAGAAAAGAGGTCTGTACTATGTAGGCTATTGCCCTGTCAGGAAAGAAGACCTGATCTGGGTGACAGGTGGGTTCCTGCTAGGTGTGTGGGGAGCACCGGGATTGACCAATGACAGCAGCAGTAGCCGCATTTCACATGCTTTCCCCGGACGCGGTGGACAGACGCCATGCTGCAAATAGTTTCAGAATGACATCACCTGCGAGCTTCGGCTGCCCGGGGAGGGTTAAAGCGCGCAGGAACACCCGTGGAGGCGCCAGCTTGCCAGTGCCTTCCAAGAGTTCACGAGGGCAATCACGACGCAGAGCCGAAAGCCATTCCATTGACCTGCATTTTTTTATTGTACGCGGCGCAAGGCACCTACTTGCTTAGCTCTGCCTTCCCCTGGGACGAAAGCTCTAGTCTCTGAGACATCATAGCTCCCATCCGCCCCTCCCTCTTCCTCTTCCTCCCTCTCCAGAATCAAATTGAGGGCGCTTCTTTTAACGTTTGACTTTCCTCCCGTTATTTCTTTTCCCCTTGTGCTCCCTTCCTTCCGTCATCATCCTGGATTTGCCCAACATCACCGCGCATTCTCACGAGATTATACCCCCATACGATACCCTCAAACGACGTTTACCATCCATCTACAACCCAACAGTAGCAAAGTAACGGAGCAGCATACCTGCACCAAGAGCCATGGAGCACCCAGGTATGCATGTGATTCCCGCCCCTTGTAACCACCATCGCTTCCATGATGCCGCGAACCCCAGCTGTAGATCCTCAGCCAAGAGGTCCCAATGGTGTGCCTAGCTTGCCTTGCAAGCTCCAACAGAACCCCAACCCGCATGTCCAACTTGGATTATGGAGAACTAACAGCCTGCAGTTAAAGAGATCAAGACGGTCATCCGGGACCTGGTCCAGGGCTCGCCCGAGAAGCAGAAGAACGCCCTCTACTCACACTTCGCCGAGGATGCTGCCTTCACTCACCCCTTCTGCCACGTCCCCTCTTTCGGCAACGTGCAGCTTCCCTTCCTCCCCGCCATTAACTCGCGGTTCTTCATCTTCTTGATTTACCGTTGGTACCGCATCTTGAGCCCTAATATCGATATGGAAATTGAGTCCTCTGGTACGTGGACACTCTCATGCCGCCTTCTTGGCCGGAGAGGTGGGTAGCTTACACTAACATCCAAAATAGTCCAAGATCAGAAGACAAACCTCCTTTACGTTAAAATGAGCCAAGACTTCCGTCTCTGGTTCGTCCCCTTCTACCTAGCCCACGTCAATTTCGTCGTCGTCCTCCAACTCGAGACCCGCCCCGTCGACGATCAGGGCCGTCCCCTCCCGCGCAACCAGACCGACGCCTCCGCCGTTGGTGCCCGCCAACGTCAGTTCATTGTCCACCAGGAGGACCACTACCAGGTCGGCGAATGGCTCAAGTTCCTCGTCCCCTTCTTCGGCTACTGGGCCTGGCACATCTTCACCCTCTTCGCGACCCTGCTTTGTGCCGTTGGCGCGTTTATCGGCTACCCCGTTACCTGGTTCTTCCAGCAGCAGGCTACGCCAAACGGCGCCGAGGTCAATAAGCGTGAGTAGGGACCGTCGGGTCGCGTGAATGGAGACCATGCCGTGCATGCAGTGGGAGGTAGTGTGGGTGGAACGGCAGGTAATGTGTATGCAACGGGGGCTTATTGACGTTGAGGGGAAGACGATTAAAGATGGTTAAAAATCAGTTGACAGAATTGGTCAATTCATGTTAGTTTAGTGCAAGAAGTACTGCATCTTAGTAACTGGAACTTCATTGATTCGAATCATGCTAGCATCATACTGGCCTTCAAAGTCCTGCGTGCATATGCCCTTACATCAGCCGAGGCAATTGCCTACACGCAATTCCGACGCGAGGTACATAATCTTCGTACTTAATATAGGTTGTCGAACCCAAGAAAAGTTTGAGAGTAAAGACAATCTGTTACACATTCGTCCAGTTTACCATGGCGGTCTTGCTTCTGCCGTCGTCATCCACTGTCGTGTTCTAGGTTACGATGCGTCCGGAAATTGACCTCAAAGTCCCAGTAAGTCCTGTCACGAATAACAAATAATAAAAGTCCTATGACGTCGAATTGAGTAACGGTTGCGTCCTGTGATGTGGTTTCTCTAGCCACGTATTCCATCCGCAAGGCTCCGACGGCTCGCTCAAGCTCGGAGATCGAATTGTCTTCAGCACACGAGCCTGGGTTACAGACTGAAGAAGTACTCTGATTTCGTTCAAGGACGGTTTGGTTTGGGTTGTGTAGTTGGTGGCCTTCTTGTTTTCTTGGAGGATGTCTTTGGGAGTTGATTATGTCTCTCGGACCGACGGCGTTGTCTATGTCAAAATTGAAACCGTCGGGATGACAAAAATGGATAACTGGCAACGATACTCACGTGCTTATGGAGTCATCTGGAAGGTACATCAGAAATAAATGGCGAGTTGACCATTGGCCTTCATTACGTTTGAATGGTTATGACTTTGGATTCGTTGGTTTGTTAAACGGATTGAAATCATATGGAAGAATTGTGAGCTGGTCACTATATCAAAGAGCCGGCCCCGATGGATAAACATAAGTCGTGTCCAGGCTCGCCAAACTTGCGGGAGAGTTAATACCGACATGCTGTTTCTGTGAGAAGAAACGCTGTTGCTTAGCCCAGTCGTCATCTGATCGTCCGTTATGAGCAACATATCTTAGCAGACCCATCTATGTGAAAGACATATGTGACAGTATTCATCGAGAATGAATGGAAACTAAAATCATTCTATAGTAAAATCATTCTATAGATTATTGCTTAAAGTGAGTTCCGAGTTGCTAACATAGCAAGCTTACGTATTCCTCGAAGTTCTCTCCCAAGTCATCCTGCATTACCGCCTCTAGGTACTCTGACGATGCAATGGCGGCCCTTACTTCGTCCGCCTCCCCATTCCTGCCGCACTTATCAAGAGCTTCTACCAGTTCATAACGAGTGTACAGGATATCGCAAGCGTAGTCGAGTCTAATACTTTCGTCATTCACTGTTGCCATTGCGTATAACGCGGCTGTAATGGATTTGTTGAAAGCCGTTATACCGGCTTCCACGTTCCCCGATTTGGTTTGAAATGAACCAATGCGATAATTGATATTTGAGTACTGATCCAAGACAGCATGTTCCCATTCATCAATCGACTTATCACCGGTTGCAGATCGGACCCTGTCGAGATACTTGTCGTAGAGCCCCATGGCCAAACCGAATAAAGGAGCCAGCAATGATGCTGCCGCAATTTGCTTAAGCTCCACATCGAATGCTTCGGCCGAGAATTGACCGAATTGGTCAATAGTACGGGCCAATAATAGCTCGTAGTTTCTGAAAATGCGTTCGCATCGTCGTAAGCTGTCGTCGTTATGATCTTCAACACCGAGAAGTTCCCTTTCCGAGTGAATGCTGCGCAAGTCGTCCTCGCCGAGAGCTTCTATGTAGAGATCTCTCTTGACTCTGTGCATTTCTTCCGTGGTATGATAGAAATATTTATCTTCTTCTGCTTCGAGCTTGCTCATCATTGCGGCGATCAGGGTAACGGGCTCTCCGGGTCTTTTCAAGTCCAGAAGTTGCCACAGGTGACGAAGATAGGCTACGCGCAGCTCGTAATCTTTGATATGGTAGGGCATGTCGAGGAGCAATGGCTCGAAGAAGGTTATCGGCTCATCGTCAATAACAGTTTCGAGCGAACGAAACACCTGTCGGAAGACCGCGCCTGCTTTTTGAAGATCTCCAACCATGAACAGGTTATTGGCTACCCACGTCGTCTCTATGACAAGGTCTCCAGAAGTTTTGCATATGTTGAGCCTATCGCGTGTCGTCCACTCGGGATCGCGTCGCAAGGTGCCGTATATGAGATCGCGTTGGCTGGTGAGGATCGCATGTTTCATCCGGTCGAGGTTGGATCCGTGATTCAACATCACCGGCATATTCGATGCGAAGTATAATATGTCGATATTGCTGGCGGAGAAGCGTATCATACGTCCCCGAGGTGGCCTTCGGCAAGTGGCCTTGCCGGGCGGTCGCTCAACTAGACCGTCCTGAAGACCTTTGGTGTTGTACTTCTTCCAACCCCACTTCACAAACTGGCGTTTGTACATTCTTTCCCTGTAAAAAAGTGTTAAAAATGAAATGCTCATTTGTATCCACGGGAATCTCTTACGTCGCATGAAAACCATGCATTCGCCTCATCATGTCTATGAGTTCCTTCAAAGGAAGGTTCTCGATCAAGTAGAGGCGACGAATGATCTCCTTCTTAGCCTCCCAATCTCTCGGAGACATTGGGGTGACGGTGGATTTGTCGTATTTTTGGGAGTGATCTGGCAGTTTGGCTGACAGAGTCTGGTCGGAAGCTGCATTGGCGACAGGAGTGGGAGGTAGGTGCGAAATCGCCGCGCTTGAATCAAGACCGGGGGACCATTGACTTGCTGCCTGGGATAAAGTTGAAGATCCATGGAACCTTCCGAGGCTGTTGTCCGCGATTCTGAGGGGAAGTTTGAAGTCATGCGTGGCCGTCGACATGATGTCCATCTTTGGCAACAAGAGGTATAGAAGAACTGGCAGGATGGAGTCAAGGGGTTATCAATGCCGTGAGAAACGACTCTTTCAAATCTGTCGGCTCGACAAAGTGTGTTTCAGACGATGGGAAGTCGAGCTAGTATAAGTATTCGAGCTATCGAGCAGCTCGCGACGTGGGATTTGCCTTGTCTTCAAAGGCGAACCAACTTGGGAAGGCTGCCCACGCCGGCACCCACCGACACGCCCCTTCCTGCGCCCCTTCCTGCCCAACTGAAGTGTGAGGCGGTCCAATCTGACGGCCGTCTTGAACTGCAAGGTATTTTTAACGCGCTCGTCATCACATTGGACGCCACGCATGCCAACCTGTTCAAGGTAAAAAGACCTCCTCCCAGGGTATTGGCCAATCACCGCTGATGCGTTCCCTCCCATACAAGCGTGGCATATTTACAGCTGGCTCTCATGCTCTAGTTTGGAAGCGATTGATTCATTGGTTTCTACTGGTGTGCTTGAGCCGCAAAAAGACCGTTTGCCACATGGCATGCGAGATCTCCAAACTGTCAGGTCTTTATATCGTTGGGTATGACGAATTGATGAGACCTACGGCCACCCTCCAATAGTCGAGGCTCAAGAATTCGCCAGTCACATTTTACCTGTTGCAGACATTACACCAGATGACAATAGCGTCGCCGACAACGGTTAACGATGATGGTGGGCAACGGTAACAATCGGGAGAGGCTCAATTAAACACACACCACAGCTGAAGGCTTACTTGGGCAGTCAAATTGAAGAAAATTCATCTCGATTCGCTGGCCATGACCGCACACGCATACACTATTTACTTTTCATGCTTGACTGACCTTTGACGCTTTTCAGGGGGTATACCAACAACATCAACAACGACAACACGGCCGTAGAAAGCCGTCCGTCTCGAAAATATCCCAATCGGACACACGCACAAAGCTATCCTCCCAAATTTTGAGACCCTCTCGCCGTTTTTAGATGCCACGCGTTCTTTCTCGTCTTTCGTTTTGTTTTTATCCTTTCTCTCCTCTTCCGCAGGTTGGCCTACGCCAAGCTCATCGATATGATGACGGATATCTTATCCGGACTCCCTCCGCTGGAGCCGTTTTTTATATATATCATGTCTTCATCCACGTGGTAGTTATATATGGGTTTGTATATGCTTTCCTCACGGATCTGAGGAATGATGGGTATTGTGGGTACTGAGATGTCCGTTGATCTTAAATCATGGTAGATTTACCATCCTTGAATGCGTCCTCTACTGGCCATTGGCATTTCCGCCATTGGCCCCTTGTTGCTGGTCCTGCGCCTGCTGTTGACTTTGTTGCTGCGCCTGTTGCTGCTGCTGACCACCAAAGAAGAAGCCGTCAAAGATGCTCATCTGCTGGCCGTCACTGAAGTCGTGGTGCATATTGTCCCAGTTGATTCCGAACCCGAGGTCGAGGTTGGGCGTCGTCCCGTCGGCGCTCGCGCCCATCTCGCCGTTGGGATTGCCCTGGAGGCTCTGGAAGAAGTCCATGTTCTGGATGTCCGGGTACTCGGTCATGTTATACGGCCCCTGCTGCTGTTGCTGGTTCATGAAAGAACCCCCGCTGCTAGATCGCTGAGCTGGCATGCGGCGCGGGACGGGCGGCGAGGCGATGAAGGATGGATCAATCTCCGAAGGGCTGCCTTGGCCCATCATGTTGAAGTCTGTCGCCAACGGCGAGTTGCGCGGGGGAAGGTCGCCGGCAACAGAGAGACTGGGCGAGGAGAGCGTGTCGGAGAGGGCGCGCTCTGCTTGGAAGTTGCCCTGCTGGAACTGCTGCTGTTGTGGGCGGCGACGAGGTGCGCTTGCGGTGGACGTCGAGGCGCCGTCGCCGCTGGCCGAGCTCCATTCGAATCTGTTCTCGCGCATTTTGCGAGGGGGCACGGAGCCGAAACCGCCGGTTGAGTTGGCCATTTTGATAGTAGCCTTTGCCGTGCGGTCGAAAGCATCACGGCAGGTCTCTGCTGGTAGACACTTGTCGATCAGGTCGGTGAAGACAGACTTGGCGGCTAGGATTGTAAAGTCCACTTCATCCATAGTCTATGCGAAGTTAGGAAAGATCAGGTTTCGCAGAGAAGACGTGACTTACAAGTCTGCTCCTGACAATTGGCGAGTGCCAGATAGCGTAGAGGTATGAAATGCCTGCCATGAACAGGTGGTGAGTGGAGAGATATGTGTAGCTGACGAGCCCGCTGAGATGAAGCTGTCGATAGATGCGCAGAATCTTCTGCCCGGCCTCGGCGACCTTGAGGTAGATTCTATCCTCGTCCTCACGCAGCTCCGCCTGGAATGCGGTCGGGCTGTTCACCTCGTTTGAGGTATTGTACTCGCCCTCGAACATGGCCGGAACACTGAGACTCTGGCGGTAAAGCATGATGATTGCTTGCCAGTAATTGAGCTCCAGGAACTCTGTGGAGAAGGCCACGCCAGTCTGCTCCCTTGTCGGGGCCGTATTCTTCCACTGGTACAGTCTCCGATCAATGTCGATGCGCCAAGAGCGGAAAGAATCGAACTTGATCAGGAACGGGGACGGTAGGTGAGTGTGCATGTCCGAGTTGGTCAGATTTTGACCACTGGCCCGCACAACTTGAGTCTGGTTATATTGCAGAACTTGGAGGATCTCGGACTGCAGTAGGCGAAGCTTAAAGTAGTGGTATGCCACGTGCTTGTAGCTTGGTTCGGTCGAGTCCGGTGGCATCTCCAAGAAGCCTGTGGGAGTGATGTACTGGTCATCGAGTAGTGAAGGGAACTCGGTCGTGATGACCTGGTCGCTGATGCCAAACGGACGGCCAACGCACGTTCCGACAAGACGGTCCAATGAGTAACAGCACCACCATAATCTTCGCCTCATGTCGCGAATGTATAGCCGCCTCCCTTTCTCGCGAGACCGGTTTTCATTCGACCCATCAATCTCACCGTTCTCCTCTTTGATCTTACCGAGGGGATCCATCATGGCTTTCGCCACATCACTGCCGTCTTCATAATGCAGGCCCAGGTCTACAGCTAGTCTCACAGCAACGCCAATGATGTACCTGCCATGCTGGTTAGAACTGTAGTTCACAGAAAATGTCCAACCACGGACAAAACTCACCAAAGGCCCGGCGGCACCGGCCGGAGGAGCGCAAAGTTGGCCAACAACAACACAGCTTGCAGAACCTCCAGGCCGCCACCACTATTGCCGAGACACGCCTCAAGGTGTACAATGGCGCTTGCGTGATACTCTTCCGGCTGAGCCTGACCAAACTTGTTTGCGTCTGGCGGGTTGCGCGGTCCGGCGCCAGAGCCATCAGACTTCACCGGCTCACCCACAATGACACCACAACCGATAGCAAACACCATGTTCAACATGTACAGCTCTCGCGGCCCTCTCGACCCGCTCTGGTTGGCATACGCCTGTTCGAACATTTGCATAAACTCTCCACGATGAAGGATGGGTATCTGGGGATTCGCGTGCTCAAAGTAAAGCGTCACAAGCCTCATGCCGACTTCTCGCTCAGGGAAATTTGCCGGACGAATGGTGGGTTTAGTGTGTAGGCCGAAGAAGGAATCGCGCATCGAGGTGCCGCTGCCAATGGGGAGACCCTTGCCGCCCGCTCTATCTGATCCGTTCTGATCTGACACAGAGTATTGCACGGCAGCGAATACAACACGATTGAAAGATACACCCGAGGCAGACGCCAAGGATCGCGGTTTGGACGGAGCAACGATATCGAGCATTGCCGTCCCCGCTCCACCGTCCGCCTTCTTCGTCTTATCCAGGTCGGGCCGGTGCACGTTGCTCTTCGCAACGCCGTTGCCTTCGAGGCTTTCGGAGCGCGCAGAGTGGCCGGCATCTGTTGTCGATCTCGGGGCTTCGGTGCCGGGGCGGGAGCATATCTCGAGGTTGTCGGCTGGAGGGATGGGGACGTTGTTATTCGCTAGCAGCGCTTCTAGCTGCTCGACGCGGGTTTCTAAATAGAAGACATAGCTACAGCACGGTTAGCAACCACTGCGAGGGGGCAGTCACTCGAGCGCAACGTGCCTTCTGGGAATCTCCTTCTTGGTGATTGGGTCGTAGCCAACACAGGCGACGTTGGCCTTTGCGCAGCTGGCGCAACTGGGCAGCTTCTGATCGCATCGGTTCTTGCGCAGACGGCATCGATTGCATGCGCTGACGTTACGGAAGTTGCTGCTCTGACCCGGCTTTCCACCGGCCTTGTCGGCTAGGAGGGCAGCGCCGGCGCCGGCGATCGGGTCGTTTTGGTTGTCACCGGCCGGGCTCTGATCGTTGCCGCCTGAATTCGGAGAAGCCTCGTCGTAAGAGCCCTGGCGCGGGCGCTTCGTCGGCTTGAGCGCCGGCGAGGGCGGCGAGTGGGCGGGCATCGTGTGTTGCGGGCGCGCGGGCTCGGCGACGGCGGAGGACGGGACGTCGACAAAAGAAGGCGGCTGGGAAGAAGGGACGGGATTGAGATTGAATTATTTTCCGGGCGGCGGCCGGGCCGGTCGAGGTTCGGGGGCAGGGATGAGGATCCAATCAGATGTCAAAAGGATGAGCGATGGTCTCGCCGGTTGAGTGTTTTTGTCAGCGTGGGGAAACAGCCGGCTGTGAGAGGACGGTTTTCGAGGTGGTAATGTTGGAGGGAAGACAGGCGTCGGTGAGGCGTACAAAGTGCTGGAACACTGCTATCGCGACGTTATCTCAACTTGCACGCCGGGAGCTCCACCCATCATCCGGCAGTGGCGCCGGATGGGAATTGCTAAAGAAGGTGGACGCCGTTGATTCTCGATCCTCTTCCAAAGCCAACCTAATCCTTTCTTTACTAAGGCGGCGCTAGACCTTCGAGTAATCGAACGGGGAGCGAACCCGGAAAGGCGGCAGGTTCCGAGTAGAAGTACACCGGCAAAGGCAGAGACACTGGCGTCGCTGGTTCTGCTCAGCTGGGATCCCTCTGAAGGTTGAGGATCTGGCCGAGACTCGGATCGCAGTTGTCGTCAAGAATGCGCATGTCGAGACGGAACGAGCGCTGGGCAGGCGGTGTGGACGGAGATGGTTGAGCAGTTGCTGGACTTGTTGGTTTTCGGGCGAGAAAGTTGAAAGAAGAAAGAAAACGGCGCGATTCACACACGCACAAAAGCTGGCAGCAGTTTCGCTCCTGACGTTCCGCAGCGAAAGAGGCGGGCAATTGCAACTACAACCACATGGGACAGGATCGGTGAGATGAGATGTGTTAGGCAGTGGAGAGGCAGGTAGGAGCAGTCGCAGAGCTAAGGGTGTGATGATAACGCGCTAGTCGTAGGGGACCAATCTGCAGGCGAGGATATAATTCTTCTGGTCAATCCCAAGCAAATTCGCCAGCTGATAAGGAATTATGGAAAGAGGGGGACTCGACTTAGGTTGTCTGCGACAGGTGCGCCTCAGCAGAAAGTGGATGGCGGAACTGGAGCGCAGAAGAAAGCGGCATTACCTGAGAAGTGACGAGGTGACTCTGCAAAGTCGATGGTTGTTTCAATCCACTTTGCCTTTGCAAGTTGCACAATACCCACAAGGACTTCTTCGGTCGGAAGGATAAGTAATCATTCTACACAGTCAATTGATGTTTCCTTCTTTTTATTCAACCATCTTGGAAACGACAGCAAGAAAACGAACAAGCAAAAAGCAACATGTTGGCCCCCCCGCACTCGACGTAGGTAGGCCTCGAGATCCTGGCCGGCTAAACCGGATCAAGAAACTCATCCCGCGCAGGCGTCGAGCCCTGACTTCTGCGCTTTCGCTCGACTTGGCAGCTTGATGGCCGCCGGGTATCAGTTGACACGCTTGGCTTAATAGAGCACCTGTAATCAACGACTTGCCATTGACTGACACGATTCGAAAGTGTGGGAATATTGCGAAGCCTGGCCTCCTGTTACCCTTATCTGTCCAATGATTTCGGCACGTCATCAACGATGTGATCTCGTGCGAGATTCCCAGTTCTGGATTGAACCCAGGCACGAATGCGACACTAGAAATTGAAGTCATGTGAAGAATCGCCCTTAATATAGACCGTGGCAGTTTCCTTCTTGTCTTAGATGGGTTGGCGGTCTGGGTCGTGGTGAGGGGAGTCCGGCTTCTTCATGAAGCAACTCAAGAACATGAGAAACGGCGAACATTGTCGCGATCAGTTTCATATTCACCCTCACTGGCACGCGGGAGCTACTGACGGCAGTTCTGCTTTTGTATGTTATTGGAACTGAAGCCAATTTGATCTGTAATCGATGAACTTTGAGGCTGACCGAACACACCTTCAACCCTCGCTTGAAGTGCCGAGGTCACATTGCCCTTCACCAACCTCTCTTTTCCCCTCCGCCGCCGTGAACTTGTCCTCCAGTTAACCCAGTCCGTTACCAACAGCAATTCTCGACACTCAATTCTGGAACAACCACCAGTTCACGCCAGCCTACCTAAAGTGTACCAGACTAAACACGTCGACAATTCCAACAACCCCCCATCAAAGTCCAGACCGAGATGGAACCCTCTTCAATCAATTCCAATATCCAGCTTCGGACTACCAAGACACCCCCACACCGGACCACGTCAAACAACAAAACCACACTACCGTCCCAGGATTATTCGTCATGCCCTTCACACAAATTAGCACAACATCCTAAGATTCAACGGTAAACCCCCCACACACCATCTATATTCCCGGTACCAAACCAGACCAATCTTCGGATGAACTACACGCAAGATGGAAAAACGCGTCAGAAAGACAGGCTTGCGCGACACGTTCATTAGCACGCATCCCATGTGAATAACACAACAGACCCCGGATCTGCCGCGAAATCTCAGAACCTCAACGCTAAGGTGACATCTGGGCCTGGTTCGTCGCATGCAGGGGCCACGGATGCTTGATTTCCATATGAGGTCAACCCAACAACACCCACAGCCCATTCACGGTTTTCTCAAAATGCCGCGTAAGAAGTCAAGAAGCAGTTGTTTGTCAAGTACAAGGGGATCGACCCTCTTTCAAATTCTCTAAATCATCATTAAAACATCAAGAAGCGTCCTTCGCAGGCCTATCCTCCCTTACATCGGAATGAGAAAAAGATGAAAATAAGCAGTGAGAGAAATCCCTTCCCGAGAGATATCCCGTTCCCCCCTTTCCGTCCTCGCGGGTGTGCCGGTTGAAATTGGGTGCTTGGGTATCCGCGAAGAATGAAAAGGAAAAAACAAGAAACAATGCCGATTCGCTTTTTGTGCCCTTCTCTTTCTCTCTCTCTCGACTCCCATTGGTATCTCCTCCAACTCCATGGCCCACGACCAAAAAATTCAATAAAAACACAAGGGTAAATCGGTCTAGGCGATTAGCCTGACCATACATGATATGAGCATCGAACGCCCCCTAAGATCTGCCGAGAAAAAATGTGGAAGAATGGAAAGAAAAGTAAAAAGAAAAGCAAAAGAAGAGAAATATTCTCCTTCATGCTGCCCGCTCATGGAAAATGGAGGAATAAAACAAGAAACAAGTCGTGAGAATCCCGTGTATGCTCTCTCTCCGGCCCGTCCGAATTATATCGTGTAATCCAATAAGCTCCTTTTATCTCTTGTCCCGTCGTGTCCCGTGAGCGATAGTCTATGTCTTGTTGGTTGTTCCGTTCCCGTCGATAACGCCGAATGATGAAACGCCGGTTGCTCGGTGTTGTGTGAAAAGGCAGTGTCATGATGTTCCGTAGCGCCTGTTGCGTCGAATTCGAATAAAAACACTCGTGATTGGTGTGGTCTAAGGCCTGCGGCTCGGGCCGGCCTCGGCTTCGTACTCCTCGTCGTCGTCCATGGCAGCCAGTAGGCCTTCCGTCTCGGTAGGCTCGAGAGCCGTCTCGATATCCTCCACAGGTTCGTCCAGGCGACCGCGAGGTTCTGTCGCGTACATGCTGAGGATTGCCCCGATGATGGTGATGGCACCGCTGGTCCACCACGCCAGACCCGAGTAGCCGGTACGAAGGCCGAGGGAGTAGAGGAATCCCGAAACGGTCGGTCCCAAGGCTCTGCATAAGCTGGCGGTGGAAGCAGCGACGCCGTTGATGGTGCCAAGAGACAAGAGGCTCGGTGCCGAGTTGGTCAGCAGGATCGCGTTGCTGGGGTAGGCCATTGTCGAAAAGGTGCACTTCCAGATGACCATGATGTAAATACCAACCATCCTCAAGTTGTCCGGAAGGAGAACCAAGTACGGGGTGAGAAGGTACAGCATGAAGTACGAGACAGCCAACATTCTGAACAGGCGAAGAGGACCCAGGCGTCGAACAACCATCGGGAAAATGAAGACGGTCGAGACCATCGAGTAGAAACCCTGGACGGACAGGATGATGCCGATTTGCTGACTACCCATGTTAAAGCCGTCCACGAACTTGAACGGGAGGTGAATGTCAGGGTGCGCAGGCGGTGCGGTGCTGAGAAAGACGGGGAACAGCTGGTCGAAGGTCATCGTGTGACTGCGGTACAATTAGCGTGACTCTAGCAGCTCATTTGGAGATTCTACCCACAAGGCTAAGATGCCGTAGCAGATAATGTTGAGAACCACAGGCTTCGTGAAAATCTTCGTCTGGACAGGAGCTCGCTCAACCTCTTCGGCTGCCGCTGCGCTGAGGTCGAGGGATTCGGTTGGCTCGGGGATCTCAGAGGATGATCCGACAAGCTGAGGTGAGTTCTCAGTCGATCTGTAACCGGGGAGTTCGTCATCATCCAGCAAGGCCTGCTTCTCCGCCTTGCGCGCCGGGCTCTGGCAACTGGTCAGGGAAAGCCATGACAGGATGCGCTTTCCAAGTTCAACACCGGGGTCTGCCCTCTTCTTGCGCTCTGCGTGAGTCTCCTCCAAAAAGAGAAGGCCGATGACGACGCCGAAGAAGACGGTGATCGCGCTGAAAAGATTGGGCAGAAGGTAGGGGAATCGGTCCCAGATTGATTCCCTGGGAAACATGCTTGGGAAGTTTACACAGGGTTCGGCGAGTAAACCTCCGATCATCGGGCCGACAACAGAGCTGTAAATAGTCAGACACGTGAACCTTGTTCAATCTGGCAATTCGCCCAGCTGGGATCGCTCGTCGAACATGAACTTACCCGAGGCACCAGACAAGAGGCATGATAGTGTATGCACGGGCTGCGTAAAATTAGTCTCTATACTCTGTAACCGGGGAAAGATCCGAACTTACGCTGGTGTTCCTTGACAGTAACCAACTCAGCTACTGTCGTTTGAAGCACGCCGATGTTGCTGATTCACACAAGTCAGCACCGCCCGAATTCCGCGACGATTCGTTTTCTTCCACATACCCGTTCAGAAGGCCGCCGAGAGCGCGCGCGATAAGAGCAACGGCCAGGTTAGGTGCGAATCCGAATACCAGCGAGCTCAAAGCTGTGCCTGCGAGGCCCATCAAGAGAACCGGCTTACGACCGATCTTGTCGCTGAGTCGGCCCCACATAACTCCTGTCGAGAACTCGGCCAAGGTGAAGGCGGATGTGACCATGCCGGCATAGACTGAGATCTGGTCCTCGTTTGCGGTGGTGTGAAAGTCGCGGACCATGTTGTAGATGTACGGAAATATGGACATGAAAGCAATCGGTTCGCATATTCTGCAGAGAGCTGAGATTTCGGTGTTAGTCGCCGTTGCGCCGCCAGTTCGTGTAAGCGAGCACCGCACATACCGAGAACAAACATCTGTCTCGCGGGGAAGGGTGGACGGCTGGGTCTCGCCTTGCTCCCCGAGGAGCCGGCCCGAGGGCCTCCTGTCATGTAACCCGATCTCTTCATCTTCGACGGTATTCTGACCATACAATTCGGGTTCGATGTGTTGCGGTGTCCAGAGTTGTATAACAGCCAACGCCGAGAGTCGATGCGAGGGACGTCTGGGCGGTCTCGCAATATATAGCGTATGGCGGGGGTGGAAACGTTCCGATTCTCCTTGGATCGAGGGATACGAAGGCAGGAATTGCTGCGCAGGTGGTGTGGGCAAGATTTCGTTTTGCTAGTTCTCGTCAAAGGGAGGGAGAGTCTACTTTGGTGATAGACTGATGATGTAACCGTGAAAAGCAATGGTGAAAAAGCAAAGGTAAAACAAGCAGCGTACGGATCAAGCAAGGTAGAGCAGAAGCAGCGGTGGCTGAGGGGTTATGGTTATGGAAGAAAGTATCAGACGGTAAAGGAATGAGGAAGCTCTGGGGAAGCAAGCAACTTAATATGAAGGGAGCGCGGACATGATGATGAGAGGACCAAGAGACGTCAAAGCCCAGGGCCACCCCAGACACAGACCAGACCCAGCTGGGTTGGACAGGCCACCGGGACCGTACCATTGCCTGGGTTGCGGAAGCAAATTGAATCTAAGATTGGAACGGCGGTGACCATGGCATGGCCAGCGCAAAAAAGCAACGAGATGATCCTCCCACTTGTCCACCGGAGAGGGACTCAGGGAGATGCGGCGGCGAAAGTCCCACGACGTGGGAAGGGATCCCAACTGCCCGGCATGACGGTCGTGGGGCCCAGAAGCCCTGTACCTGATCCAGGGGTACCCCCAGACAACACTCGGTGGACTCCCTCTCCATAGAAGCACATTCGAAGGGCGCCCCCGGTCCATGTCGAGATGGCTGTCCTGTCCCTAGCCATGGGCCTTTGCCTTACAGCTGTGGGTACGTACATACGTGCCGGGGACAGTACCTGAGCGTTGGGTACCCGTACCAGGAGAGATTCCGCGGGAGAACTGAGGTGTGTGTGGTCACTGGTGGGTGTATGCTCTGTCTTGTCTGTCTCTCTGTCTTCTGTGCGAGTACGTACTCTACAGACCGACATGGCCGGAGTAGGAAAAGTAGGCAAGGGGTGGTAGACTCGGGGAAGGATGGCGCCAGACCGGAAGACAGGGATTAGCAGAGGAAAAAAAAAAGGTTTCACAAGAGGCAACGAGGCTAGTCGAGCCCTGATGGGACTGGTCTGGTCTGGCACCTGGGTTTGGAGTGAGGGAGGCTTTTTAGAGTCAGCTCTCAGAATTGGGGTGTGTATGGTTGTGTGGGTAGTTGCAGGCGGGAAAACGAATGGAATAAGAAAAACCAACAGAGAACAATGTGATGTGCTGCAGCTTCGAGCAATGCGATTGTCGACGCCGATGGCTGCTTCGTAGCATCGACATGTCCATCTGGTGCAGAAACACAAACGGACGTAGCTGTTGCAGCGAACGCAGACGCAGACGCAGAAGCAGAAGCAGACGCCGCCGTGCTGCACAACAGCTCTCGCATCTCTGTGCCACGTTTCCCATAATCTCTCTTCCTTCAGAATCTTGATCTTCTGATCCGAGGACCCGGTGTCTTCTCATTTCGTCGTCGGTTTCCTTTCTGGCTTATCCTCTCAGTCTTCGGGCACAGGATGCCGGATACTGGACTACCAGCTATTGAATTCGTGCCAGGGCGACTGTCGAGCCGGGTACCGCAGCATGCGCTACTGCACCCGCGCCTCGCCTTGCAAGGAGGAACGAGATGCAGAGTGTCCACGACTCCGCGATGTGAGTGAGCTGCGTCGTTCAGCGGTACGCAAGGTTGGCCTGCTGGACAGCATTTGACGTACGAAGTACGGATACTTCATACGGCTCAAGGTTTACACCCCCCGGCATTTGGTCGCATGGCTGCTGCAGCAGGGGCTCGACATTGGACTGTTGGACTTCAGCAAGAGACCACCGGCCGAAGGGCTGGTCAAACGCTACTAGTGTACAGTAATGTCGAGAGGACATGGGAAACTACCCAGGTAGTCCCTGTGGCTCAGTAATAGACCGCCTCCTCAGCAGAAGTGAAGTAGGCCTGGTCCCCGCGCTGCCTGACATTTTGCGGTGAGCAGCCAGCTGGAGACGTTGGGTTCGCCAATCTTCATTGGGCAACGGGGGCGCCCGTGACGGTTGATCCTGAGCTGCCTTCGTTCAGTACGACCACGACTGAGTTTCTGTACCTATCGTTGGGCGACCGGGTGGGACGCGGATACGCCTCCTGTAGCACACGGAGCTTATCACGCCCAGAAACTGCGCATCAGAGCGCCGAGGATCTGAGCAACAAAGCTTGCTGATTGAAGCCACCTCGTCTCTTGTCTTCCGTCTTCGTGAGGCGGTGAAAGGAGCGACCAGGGCCACGGAGCCTTCCCCCGGCCGGATATCGACAGCTCTTGCAACACCGTCGGCGCGTCAGGAGAACAGGAAGGCCGTCGCCGCGCCCTTGTCCATCTTTGATTCGGAGATTGTTTGCCGGATTTCCTGGAGCCTCGTTCCGATCAACTTGCATGTCCATCGTGCATCCTGTTCGCGCAACTATACACGCGGAACGCACAGCTTACGATTGTTGTTTCCGGAGCGATCCTGAATACGAGAGAGAGCATCCGTAGTCATACAGCCAGTCTCTTGTGCCTACAGCGGCCGTATGGATGTGGAGATGCGTGCCTCAAACGTCGCGCAGCTCTATCGGCCGAGACGCGTTTCCGCCTGCGACACCCGCCGTAGTTGTTCCCAGTGTTGGTATGTGCCGTGACGTCTGATGATGGCGACTCTCGGACTGCAGCTTGCTCAGTCTCCGTACGGCAGAGGGCCATGTTGGTTGCATGCACCCTGGCCACGACAGCTTCCGGTTGGAATACCAATGACAGTTTGAGGTGTGCGCGACCGAATGCCCAACGGCACCTGGGCACGTACGGCGGACGGATACCCGAAGAAATCGGCTGGACCGGGGGAGTGCAAGCCCAAATTCGATTTCCCGTACGCCCGCATATCCAACCATTCGTTCTTCCATCCGTCAAAGAGTCATATCGTGACATGTCCGCATCTTACTTGCCGCGCACCGAGTCACTTGACGCTGCACCTTACTCCGCCGCAGGATGGGGGCAGTTGAGTTGGCAAACAGTCAGCCTGTTTGCTTGCCGTCTTGTTCGTCGACAGTTGCCCTGTTTTGCGTTGCCCTGGTTTCCTTCACCGTCGGCGTTCTCGCACCCTGTAATAGCCCACCAGACCGACACGTCGGCGCCCGGAACGTACTCACGTGTGTCACTGCCATGTCGCCTGTCACTGACTGATTGACGTTGTCCCAGCGCAGTCATGACGGTCCCACGCAGCATGGGGCCGTATGAAATAACCCTGGTATCACGTTGATTAATGGCGACAAAGTGGGATTCGGGGACGAACCAACGGACTGGGCCAGTATGGACTGGGCCGGCCGCGGTGCTGGCCCTTTCTCCAGAGACATCCGGCTTGTCGGTGAAGCTCTGTAAACACGAGCCACAGCAAATGAGTTGGCCGGGGTAGTTATGAGTTGGAAAAAAGTCTCTTCTGCAAGGCCATGACCCTGGCCTGCCGACCGTCATCTTATTGAAGATCTCTAGCAATTCCGATCGCTCTGGTTCAGCACCTGCAAGTGAGAGATCCAGCACACCTGTGACTGAACAGCCTGACGAGAGCCTACAGTGAATTCTGCCTGTTGCTGTTACGCCGTAGGGGTCTTCTGCATGTGCTGCATCGCGCTCGGACTGATTCATCGCGCTTGGTTGATTGAGAAGACTAATGTGGGCGTCGCGGAAGCCGGAACGGTAAGTGATAGTCAGGAGTTTGCTGCTGGTCAACTTGCCACTTGCAAAATTGATGGTCCTTCAGACAAGGTTAAGGGGCTGAACGTCACTAGAAAGTTTGGGGAGGTGGAACGTGAGAATGTTGGCCGGCGTGGGTGCGATGTTGGGCTTGGACTTGGACTTGTTGCATAGCTCGCCGTCTCTCTCCCCCGCCGCTGGAACTGTTGTTTTCCAACGCTGAGCCCAGAACCGAGGCTACCCCAGCTCAAGGTATCAGCGAGATGGATTGGCGAGGGGATGGTCCCTGTTCAAAACCATGTGGCGTGGCTGATATCATTCCCCGAGCTGCATCGAGAGTTTCTCAAACCGCTGCTTCGTCAGGGATAGCCGTGTCTGAAGTCTCTTTTCTCCCCCAGAGAGGACAGCAACGCCGCAAGAACGGGGTCAATCATAATTCGACCTCTCAGTGTCGTTCGCGTCTTCAGACCAATTGAGCTCCTTCATTTGGGTGTAGCTGAGCAGACACTTCAATCCGCTGCGATGAACCAGCCTTCGCTTCGTTTGCCATCGAAGCGTATTTTTGTCCGTTGGGAGGACATCAAAGTTTGGTGTTTGGTGTAACAACTCCATGGAGTCGTGGCCCTCACGGCCTGGTCCGGATGCCGTCCGCTGATGTCTTCAATAAATCCGGCGCCACCTCAGCGCTCCATAATCAAAGCATTGGCTTTGAATTTGTCGCCATTGTAATTTGCGAGGCTCGTCAACCGAAGAAGAAAACCTCACGGCTAGAAAGAGCGCCAACCAAGTCGGCCCGCAAAACGAAATGGCGGTGATCCCCTCCTAGGTTAATCACAATCAGGGAAATTGGCTTTCGTTTCTGCGCTAGGTCAGGGGTACCCAGTCTCGCATCCTGGGACAGCGTCTAAGCACCCCCATACAACCGTCTCTTTGGGCCCTGATCGGGCGAGTGCCGGAACCGGTGCCGAAACGTCAGGTAGCTGGTTCGTTGGCATGTACTGCGTCGAAGTATCTCTACCGTACACGCCCACTGGCGTCTCATGGCTCATTGTCTGCCGCGTGCCGCTTCCTCGTTTCGCACCGAGCATCGTCATATCAATCGCGGGTCACAATAGGATGACACCAACGTGATGCTTTCCACTGCCAAAGCCAGACTATTTGTTCGGCAAAGCATGCCAGAACGTTTAAATGCGCCACGTCAAGCGTCTTATGCCCGATTGGTGTTATCTGTAGAA